CTTTGTATATCTCAGCTATTCACCTCCATCGTAAAGCAAGCTTGCTCAAAATGATTGATGCCTTGTTGTACATCATGGAGCCATTGAAAAGGATTCAGGGCTTGAGTTCCCCAGATATTTATGTTAATATCACATTTCTTCATAATGGCCTTCAAACTGTCTTTGAATCTCCTGCTTTGCCCACCTCTAGAACAATGATCATTGGGAGTCGGGAGTGTAGGACCCATTTTGGGAGCCGGTTGTTATGCATCCTTATGACATGTTTATATAGCACCAGCTCTGTTGGACAAGACATGGCTTCAATGCTGGTGGTGTTTGCTTGAGCAGAATACTGGCATTCATTCTTCTGTCCTTCCAAGTGACATGGGGAATTTTCCCAAACACATTACTGATGGTAATGTTGCAAAGCTTTCCAGCATGTCATCCAAGTTTCACACCCATAGAACAGGGTAGGGATGACAACAGCCTGGTAAATGAGAAGTCTTGTTTGGTTCCAGATGGCATGATTATCAAAGATATGGTTTCAGAGATATCCAAAGGCAGCACTGGCAGAATTTACTGGTGTTAAATATTTACTTTTTGGGAAAGGTGGCTTCCTAGGGAAGGGAAAAGCTCAACAATCTCCAAGAATTGTCCTGTAATTGTAATATATGGAGCTGGTTGGCTTAGGGTGGGTTGGGAAAGTATGCTTGGCGAGTCCAAGCATTTCATATGTTTCACAGAAGCAATCAAGAGTGCCCTGGAGCTCTTCAACTGAGCGGGCACACAAGACATGATTGTCACCATCCTGAAGATCAGTAAGGGAGCTGTTGGTTATCTTGAACTTGGAACATAACTGTAACAGGGATCCCAAACTTTGTAACCTCCAGAAAATGGAGGGAGAGGAGCAGGGAATAGACCCCTTACAGGAGCCAGACTGTGGGGACTCAGGGGAAAGGGGATACAGCAAGCCACTCACCAGAGACTCAAGGCTGGAGGGCTGCAGGGCAAGGAAAGCCAAACAGTTCATTAAGCTGAGCAGGAACACCTGAGCCCACCTTCACAGGCAGTGGCCAGGTGACTGGAAGGATCAGGGCTTGGCCACAAATCAGCTCAGTCACTGAGTTGGGACTGGGAGTTCAGGCCCACAGGCAGTGCGGACAGAAACAGAGGACAGAGATGACTGACAATGAAAAGGAGGTACCCTGGGGCTGGGAGGCAATTAAAGTAACTCCTTGTGAGGGGGACAGCTGTTATGGCCCTGAGGGGCTTGTAGTTGGGTTATAACCAGATGGTTAACCTTTAGTATTCTAGTTTTCTTCTATGTATTTAAGTTTAGGACTGGGAGTGGCTGTAGGGGTGGAGAAGGCCAAGAACAGTGTACCTGGCAGACATCTTCCACGCTGGGGCTGACGCCTGGAGAGCCAGGGCCCAAATTAGTGGACCTGGGCTGAGGGGTCTCAGCTAGGAAAGAAGGGTCTAAGGCGGTTGAAGCCTGGACAAGGGCTGGGGCCCGAGGGACCCAATATTAGTCTGGTATACAGAAAAAGAAAGAATGAGAAGGAAAGATCCCGAAAGGGCCAGGTGAGGAACCATCAGTGAGGTGTGACCATGGCTAAAGAGGCGGCAAGAAGGCCATAGTAAAAACCCAAAAGCACCCCAGAAAGGACTACCCTGGTCCCAAGAACAGCATCCCTCCAACTACACTGGTTACCAGAAAAATTGTGGCAAGCAAGAAGGAGGTGGAGTAGGCTGAGGTAATACTGATGAAAAGGGACAGGGATGAAAGCCCAGACTCTTTCCAATAACCAACTGACGTTAAAGAGATTCCTGTCCCTGTGATACAAAAGAGTGACTCCAGATAGAAGTCTCTTAACAAGGAGATGCAGAATACCTGTGTCAGATGGAAAAGAGTGTTGGTGCAATCGCACACCCTTGCTTGACTCCAGTTCTAATAGTGAAGGGGTCTGTTTACAAGCCATTGTTTAGAATAGTTGCTGTCATGCCATCTTGAAAAAGTCTGATAATGGTAACACATTTTGATAGGAATCCAGATCTTATCCGGGTCCTCCTTAGGGCCTCTCTGTTTTAATTTTTTTAAATTTTTTTTTAATTTACTTATTTTAAAAAATCACAAATGTTCAAGTGATTTCATCATTCCAAAAACATTGGGTTCATTGGACCAGGCTGATACCTAAAATGAGCAGTCACAGAGCTCTCATTTTAGAATACAGATTACAGAGTACTCGTCCTTCCACCATGCTAGACTCATCTTCTCACTTTCATTGTCCCCTGCCCTACTATTCTAAGGCTATATTTTTATTGTCAAGAAGAAAACTATACTGTTAGCTGAATAAGTAGCTACCTGGATTTGTTCATCCTCCTATCCTGGCCAACACAGGAATGTTAATTTTACACACTGGAACTGAGCTTTGCTGGTCTTATCCTGCAGGACACTGTAACCTGTTATATCACGTCACCTCTTTAAGCTTTAGAACAGGACCCTCTGGGGCCTGTTCTGTAAAATATACCTGTAGGACACCAGGAAGAAAGAGCAATTTGGGTTCTGGGAAAAATTGTAGGGTCCCAGTAGAGTAGATAGATTGAGATTTCATAATGGAAGTCTTATTTTGAAATATCCTGCCATTCCCATAAATAATCCTTCTCTGTAATGGAAAATCACATCAGCAACTCTAGAGTCTCAGAATTTTCAAGAGCTGTTGCAGTAGGAAGGTAGGTAGTTGGGTGAATTAGATAAGGACAAAAGGGGAAATCATCAACATACCTTTGTGGAGGTCCTTAAGAAGCTGCTCTGTGGCCAGGAGTAAGAGTGCCCATATGTCCTGTTCCTCCAGAGCACATCCCTTTGCCTGCAGGACCTCAGCCAGAGTCACACAGTAGCTGCTCATCTCTGCGGTGATAAAAACAGACATTTGCCTTGCTAAAGCTGACTGAATAGTTCAGAACAAACCACGATCATTCTAAATCTTGATTTCCTTGCATCTATTCATCATTTGTAGTGAGTTTTCTGTTTATGGCAAATAATATCAATCCAAAAGATCCTCTGTAAAAGTGACTACTATAAGGCATGTGTAGACAAAATGGGGGCCCTAAATTGAAGTGGTGGGGTTTTTAAATACACAGCTTCAATTTAGGGCCAAGTAAACCCCCATGTTGTGCACACACCCGTGCACTTCCCTGCCTCTCTGGTGGCAGGGAGGGGAGGGCAAGCTGCCAGTGGGCAAAGCGGTCCCTGGGCTGCAGGGGGAGCAGTGCTTCCCTCCACAGCACCAGTGGCCCCTCCCCCCCAGGTACCACCCACCCGCAGGCACCTGGCTCGGGTGATCCCAGGGGGCACTGCAGCTGCAGAGGAAAGAACCGGGCCCCAGCACAGCTCAGGCAGGCTCCAGAGGGAGATAAAAAAAAAAAGATCGCTGCTTTTTTTTTGTTTCTTGAGCAGAGCCTGCCTTCCCACGCTACTGCCAGGCTGCGTGCACAAGCTTCCTGCAGAGCACCTGAGCTGCATAGAATCCGGTGCTTCACTCCACGGCTGTAGGAGTTTTAGTTTGCTGCGCCCCAAGTCATTTAAGGTGCATTATGCCACCAAATTTGCTACAATGGCTGAAATTACTGTGCAATACACCACCGATGTGTGCAAGCACCAACACCGCTAAAGCAGTGCAAAAGCATTTAAGCTGCTTTAAAGTGTTGTGCACAAATGCCCCTCACTTCATCTAACACACGGCCAATGACTCGTCATGAATTAGGTTGCATGAGTAGTCACCTAAATCACATGGCATTGCTTCTGCTGCCTAACTGGAGAATTTATGCTTTACAAACAGAAGCATGGCTGAAAAATGCATTGCTCCTAAGCTTTTATTCTACAGAAATGGTGGACTAGGAAGGAGGGAGCCCCTGACAGAGAAAGAAGTAGAAAGGTAACAGCTGCCATAAGACATAAAGGCCTAATAAAGGTATGTCATTAAAAATCACTCCCTGTGCTTTCATTGCAAGAAAGATTATAATAATCTCAGGCAAGGGTTATTAAACTATAAGAAAATAGCACAATGGAGTGAGCTGCCCAAGGAAGCTGTAGATTCTAGAGGTGCATTGATACATGGGTCCAATATCAGATTGGCATAGATTCATAGACAGACATAAAGGCCTAATAAAGGTATGTCATTAAAAATCACTCCCTGTGCTTTCATTGCAAGAAAGATTATAATAATCTCAGGCAAGGGTTATTAAACTATAAGAAAATAGCACAATGGAGTGAGCTGCCCAAGGAAGCTGTAGATTCTAGAGGTGCATTGATACATGGGTCCAATATCAGATTGGCATAGATTCATAGACTGTAGAGTCGGAAGAGACCACAATGGATCATAGTGTCCGACCCCCTGCCCCTGGCAGGAAAGAGGACCAAGGTCAGATGACCCCAGCCAGGTGACTATCTAGATAGCAGCACCTCTCTTGGAAGTCCATTCCAGATCCTGTCCACCCTTAGTGTGGAAAATTTCTTTCTAATATCTAACCTAAATCCACTCTCAACTAGTTTTCACCCGTTATTCCAAGTTACTCCCTGGGGCACCCTAGTAAACAGCACGTCCCCTATTCCCCATTGACCTCCCCTAATAAATTTACAGGTGGCCACAAGATCTCCCCTCAGTTGTCTCTTGTGAAGGCTGAAGAGATTCAGCTCTTTCAACCTCCCCCCATAGGGTCTATCACGAAGGCCACTAATCATGCAAGTGGCCCTCCTCTGGACCCTCTTGAGATTCCCTGAGTCCCTCTTGAAGTGCAGTGCCCAAAACTGGACACAGTACTCCAACTGCAGCCTGACCAGTGCCACATAGAGGGGGAGCATCACCTCCTTTGATCTATTAGTCATGCACCTGCTAATGCATGACAAGGTGCGATTGGTGTTGTTGATGGCCTCATTACACTGCCGGCTCATGTTCATCTTGGAGTCAATTATGACTCCAAGATCCCTCTGCTGAGAAGGACACTCCCCAACCTGTAGGTGTGCTGGGGGTTCCTCCTTCCCAGGTGGAGTACCTTACATTTTTCTTTATTAAACTGCATTATTTCTCTCTGCCCATTGATCCAACCTGTCCAGGTCGGCCTGAATCTGCTCCCTGCCTGCTGGTGTACTAACTTTGCCCCATAACTTGGTATCTTCAGCGAACTTGGAGAAGGTGCTCTCCACACCCTCGTCCAAATTGCTGATGAAGATATTAAATAATATCGGTCCGAGGACCAAACCCTGTGGGACCCCACTGCCCACCTCCCTCCAGGCTGAGAAGGAACCATCCACCACCACTCTCTGGGTGCGGTTCCTAAGCCAGTTGGCCACCCACCTGACTGTGTAGGCATCCACTCCGCAGTCTGCTAGCTTCCCAATGAGGATAGGGTGCCAAACTGTGTAGATATAAAGACATAGATATAAAGAAAATTGAGTGTATTGGAAATCAGCCTGATGTGGCCAATAATTTGGCTGATAAATGCCTATGCACACACGCAGCCACAGCACAGCACATAGGCAGCAAGGAGTGCAGCCCAGCAGCCTGGAAAGCTGCAAGCAGCTGGTAAGTCTGTTGTGGTGGAAGGGGAGGGAAGGTAAGGGGCACTGGGTGGCAGATCAGCACCCCCTGCGATGAGGGAGGGAATGGGGCTGGGGCAGGGGCAGGAGCTGGGGCAGGGTAGGGCATGGGACAGAGCCGCAGCTTGTCCGGGAGGCACGGGGGGAGAGTGGCTCCTGCCACTGCGCGCACTCTAGGAGTCCATGGGGGGTGGGGAGCATGTGCCCTGGATCTGCATGAGGCACAGGCAGGTTGGGCTGCAGCTGTGGGCTGAAGCCAGGACTGCCCTGCTCCCCCCCGTCCCAGGGCCGGGGCCGGGGCGGGGGGGCTTGGGCTGGGGTTGCACTCAGGGTAGGTGGTGGCAGCAGCGCTGGCAGAGGGGCTACAGCAAATTTAGGGGGGGAGCTGAAACCCCCATAACTCCCTCCCAGTGCCGCTGCTGCCCACACTGAGCACAGCCCGGCATAGCTCCAGCCCCAGCCTGCAGCACAGGAGCCTTGATCTGCCCTCCACTCCTCTCCCCCACCCTTCCACCACAACAGACTTACCAGCTGTATACATGCTGTATCAGAAATAGGATCGGTATCGGCCGATATGCCTCCTTAAAAATCGCTATCAGTATCAGCCCCAAAAATCTCTATCAGTGCACCCCCAGTAGATTCTCTTTCACTGGATAGCTTCAAGAGGTTTGGATTGGCATTTTATGGGATTGTTTGCATCCTACATCTGTGCAGTGGTTTGAATAGATGACCCCTGAGGGCCATATGATTCTGTGATTCTGTAATATCTGGTTATATACATGAACCCCAGATTTAAAAAATACCTGGGTTCCTTTCTAATATAAGAGAGATAAGATGCATATATTTGTGGAACATGCTCCAATTCCATCCTAGGGTATGGTTGGAGCTGTTCTCACCTGCTATGTACCTGATGCAGTAAATGTAATAATGTATCTGGGCAGCTGTTTCTCTTTTGTTTTTACATTGCTTTGAAATGTCTGCAGTAGCCTATCATTTAATTGCTGCCTATCATTAAGGGTAGATACTGTGTCCCAGTTATGGAAATGGGGAGAGATTTTTGCCTTATCTGTCTTATCTGCATTACTAGTGTTAGCAGCTCTACTGTGTTTTTTGTTTGTTTGTTTGTTTTTAGTGACCCTTCCCCACATAAATGTCTAGCATGCACATACTTATAAAAGAAATCTGGTGTTTTATGTTTATTACACTAAAAGAGTCAGGTTTGCAAAGTGAAGCACTACAGTGTCAGAAAACAGCAAAACAGTGATTGTGGCTGTTCAGTGTGTGAAGCACACAGGTCCTGAGATATCAGAGTATATTGAATAACATTGTGCAATGGGGACTTTACCCTGCCTGATTCCTAGTGCTGTGGTGCAGAAGCTAGGTGACAGGACTCCACATTAGCAGGAAAAGATGGGTGGGTTTTAGAGTACATGTAGCCAGGGCAGATAGGTGGCTCTATATGCATATCCATTCCGGACACACAAGTGTATCCAAGGGCATTGTTACATGTTACACTTAGTATGTATTATGTTTAGATTGTAGGAAGCATTAGTGCAACTTAGAAAGTTTTCTGAGCAGTCACACATTAATACCTACTAAGGCTGTGCGAAATTTCGCCACCAGTTTTCTTTTGACACTGTTTCGACCCGCTGTTGAAACAGCCTTGAAACAAAATGAGGCAAGTCAAAATTTTTCACCATTTCAACATTGTTTCAATGTTTCAGCCATAGCCTATAATGGGGAAGGACAAAGCAGCCTATAACTTTGTCATTTCTGGCCTGATTTGGATGCCACTTGCAGGCATGCTAGCCCCTGCTGAGGCCACAAAGCTTGCCAAGTTTCAAGGAGATGGGTGCAGGGGTTTGTGAGAAACTGCACCCCATATTATCCTGAAACCAAAACTCATGTCATGTGTACATGACATGGGTGCTTGTGCACCTGACTGTCTCTGTCTTAGGGCAGAAGCAGTTCCTGGCTCTGTATTGATTCTTTCCTCTCCTCAGTCTGTGGTTTTGTAGGTGTTAATCCTTGCTCATTAACTCATTATCCTAGCTAGCTACTGTGTATTGAGCTGGTCCCTGAGTGAATCATGATTGCTTGTGTAACACAGTAGTTAGCTAGCACAAGCACCCATGTCACGAGTTTTACCTGTCATCAGCCAAGGGTGCAGGGCCCCAGAACCCACCTTGCACCTATCTCCTTAACAGCTGGTAGGCTTTCTGGCCACAGCAGGGCCTAGCAGCCAGGCCTGCAGTAGTTCCCCTCCCCCCCACCATGCCCCAAGACAGACACAGTCGCACAAGCACCCATGATGCGAGTTCTGCCTGTCAGCAGCTAGAGGTGCAGGGTCCTAGAACCCAGAAGCCCCTGCAACTATCTCCTTGAAAGATGGCAGGCTTTGTGGCCTCAGCAGGGGCCACCATCCCTGCAACTTTCACTCTGCTGTGCCTTAACACACACAGTGTCACACCCATGGCACGAGTTTTGCTTGTCCGCAGCTTGAGGTACAGTTTCCCCCAAACTTCTGCACCTATCTCCTTGAAACTTGGCAGGCTTTGTGGCCTCAGCAGGGGTTAACATGCCTGCAGTTTTTACCCCAGCGTGGCTTAACACATATACATGACATGAGTTTTGCTTTCAAGAATTTGGGGTGCAGTTTCTCCCAAACCCCTGCACCTAACTCCTTGAAACTTGGCACACTTTGTGGACTCTGCAGGGGCTACCATTTCTGCACATTTCATCTAAATCACACCAGAAATGACAAAGTTATAGACTGTTTTGTCCTATGGGCGAAACATCGAAACAGTTTCACTGTTTCGAGGGAACAAAACGGAACAGCTGTTTCAAATCAAAACTAAATTTGAAGCCAAACACTGTTTCATCAAAACGTCAAAACACTGGTCAAAATGGAACGCTGCCTTTTCACACAGCCCTAATACCTACTACCATCTAAATATAAATCAAAGTACCACAGCAGATAAGCTGGTTTTTGGTCTCAGCCTTAAGATCGCACTGAAATTTGTTTAAGTTTCCGGTGCAGTTGCAGGGGCTGGGAGTGACACCAACATGGCATAGGAGTCGGTCCCAACCCCTGCACTGCACAGAAGTGTGTTCAAGGCTCTGGTGTGATGTGGGGGCTCGGGGCAACACTAGCACAACACAGGAGTTGGTCCCAGCCCCTGCACTTGAACCGTCAGGACTCTGGTACAGTAGGTGGTGGGGTGGGAGCCCTAAAAACACCTGTTCATCAGGCTCTCTCCACCTCCCCCACCCCACCATACCACCACACTGAAGCCTTGTGGGTTCAAGAGTCTGGGGGGGTAAGGAAACTGGGAGTCTGACAAACAGCTTTTTCAGGCTTTCTCCCCCCTTACCACCACACTGGAGTCCCCTGACAGTATCACCTCTGTGTTAGGTAATATGATTTGAAGATGCTCTTCACCAGAAAAGGCCTAACTTTATTATGTTACAGTGGCTGTGACGCTTAACAGGTGCTTCACTGTTTGAATGCTAGGACACTAGCACTGTAAGTGCAATTAGCATGTGCTAAACGTAATGTGTAACAATACCATAAGTCACAAAGATGTAATTGTGGGTTTCTGGACAGCTACCAGGTGTTAGTTTGAGGAGAAAGACTCCCCAATATTTTAGCCCCAGTAGCTGAGTGGTTAGGATATTCATTCCTGGAGGCCTAGTTTCTAGGCCCCCTTTACCCAGAAAAGGCTTAACCCTCTGCCTCTCTCACTACCTAATACATTCCTCTAAGCACCATGCTACAGGTTAGGCATTGTGTAGACCCCTTTCCATCCTTCCTTTTGAAGCTGTCCCCCTCACTAGCCAGGAGAAGATGTGTGGGGACAGTGAAATGGTTACTGCTCTAAAAAGAAAAAGACCTTGGATTCTAGCTTGAAGCCTTGCTCCCAGTGGGGCAGGAACTTCCACACTGAGCTGCTCTCCACCCATAGATTCATAGATGCTAGGGTTGGAAGGGACCTGAACAGATCATCAGGTCCAACCCCCTGCCTGGGCAGGAAAGAGTCCCCAGCCAGATGCCTATCCAGCCTTCTTTTAAAGACCCCTGAGGCAGGGGAGAGCACCACCTCCCTTGGAAACCCATTCCAAATTTTGGCCAACCCTATCGTGAATAAGTGTTTCTTGGTATCTAGCCTAAATCTGCTCTCTGTCAATTTGTGACCATTGTTCCTTGTTATCCCAAGAGGTGCCCTGGTGAACACAGCACCTCCAATCCCTTGCTGCCCCCCACTAATGAATTTGTAGGCAGCCACAAAATCACCTCTCAGCCTTCTGTTGCAGAGGCTGAAGAGGTCCAGGTCCCTCAGTCTTTCCTTATAGGGCTTGGCCTGTAAACCCTTAACCATATGAGTGGCCCTCCTCTGGACCCTCTTGAGGCTATCCACATCCTTCTTAAAGTACGGCACCCAAAACTGGACACAGTACTCCAACTGTGGTCTGACCAATGTTGCATAGAGGGGAAGTATCACCTCCTTGGATCTATTTGTCATGCATCTGCTGATGCATGATAAAGTGTGGTTAGCTTTGCTGATGATTTCGTCACACTGATGACTCATGTTCATCTTGGAGTTCACTATGACTCCGAGATCCCTTTTAGCTTCTGCATTGCTGAGAGGGTCATTTCCCAGCCAGTAGGTGTACTGGATATTTTTATGCCCTAGGTGCAGCACTCTGTATTTGTCCTTGTTGTACTGCATCCTATTATGTTCTGCCCACTTTTCCAACCGTTCAGGTCTGCCTGCAATTGTTCCCTACCCTCTGGTGTGTTCACTTCACCCCACAATTT